GTAAGGACAAACAGTATGTAAATAAGACACGTAGGCTGGAAGTTAGAGTCCAAAATGCCTTAAACTTAGTCAAAAAAAGGCATTCGAGGGGTGAAAATGTAAAACAACCCCCAACCAATGTTGTGATGTAACCGGCAGCTTTCTCATGCCAAATATGACCTGTAGAGACAGATAGTATGTAAATAGGACACATACGTTGAGAGGTATAGTCGAAAATGTCTTAAACTTAGTTGAAAAAAGGCGTTCAGGGGGTGAAAATACAAAACAGCCCCCTAACAAATGTTGTGATGTGATGGCCAGCTTCCCCGTGCCAAATATGACTTGTAGGAACAGACGGTAAGTAAGTAAGACATGTAGGCTGGAAGTTAGAGTCAAAAATGCCTTAAACTTAGTCGAAAAAAGGCGTTCGGGGGGCGAAAATGAGAAACAGGCCCCCAACCAATGTTGTGATGTAACCGACAGGTTCCTTGTGCTAAATATGATTGTAGGAACATACGGCACGTAAATAAGACATGTAGGATGGGAGTTAGAGTTGAAAATGCCTTAAACTTAGTCGAAAAAAGCATTCAAGGGCCAAAAATACAAAACAGGCCCCCAACTAATGTTGTGATGTAACGGCCAGCTTCTCCGTGCCAAATATGACATGTAGGAACAGACGGTACGTAATATAGGGCACGTAAATGCCTTAAACTTAGTCGAAAAAAGGTGTTCGGGGGGCGAAAATACAAAACAAGCTCCCAACGAATGTTGTGATATAACTGGTAGGTTTCCCAAGCCAAATATGACCTATAGGAATGGACGGTACGTAAATAGGACACGTAGGAGGGGAGTTAGGGGCGAAAACACCTTAAACTTAGTCGAGAAAAGGAGTTCGGAAGGCGAATATGCAAAAATAATTATTAATTATGTGTAATTATTACTTGTTGCATGAAATATGCGTTCGAGTTTTACATAATTTTCTTTTACATAAATTCGAGTATGCAAAACTAATGATTTATTTGAAAATATTAATTATATTCGAGTTTTATATGTTTTTTTTTATTTATTTTAAATATGTCAATATTTAGTCAATACTAATGATTAATTTTATTTGTACAGATGGTTTTTGGCGTGGAATTGTGGATATGACTTTTTTTGACAAGTACGAAAGACATTGTTTTTAGTCTACGGATTAGTATTGTTCGCACACATTAGTTTTATGGCGTGGTACAACTTAGCTTTTGACGTGGTACATATTAATTTTTGATGCGGTACATATTCCTTTTGACGTAGTACATATTAGTTTTTTGGCATGGTACAGATTACATTTTGGCGTGGTACATATTAGTTTTTTGGCATGGTACAGATTACCTTTTGGCGTGGTACAAATTAGTTTTTGGTGGTACAGATTAACTTTATATATTAATTTTGTTTAATCCTTTGTTATGTATGGAATTATATTTTTGAGGTTGGATTATGCTTGGTTTATATGGAATTTCTATTGCATTTATAATTTGATGTTAAATATGAATTTTTTTGATGGTTGAAAGTGAAATGTGTGCATGTTGTGGAATGGTTATTGTATTTATATACAAGGTACAAGTTGCACTAATAATAGAATAAATATAGGTGGTCGAGAAATTAAGTATAAAAAAAATTATAAAGTTTTTCGCGATTAAATATTTTGGTAGCCAAAAATGCAAGCAAAGGTTTTGCATGACTAAATATTTAGTAGTAAAAAAGAAACAAAAGACTTTTGGCAACCAAATAATTAGTAGCCAAAATAAATCAAGATGAGAGAATAAACTATTGCCGACTAAATATTTTAGTCACGAAAGAACATGGGATCCTTTGGTGACTAAAATGTTTGGTTGTGAAATATCATGAAATGAAAATATTTAATCTTTTGGCGACTAAAATGTTTAGCCGTGAAAACTAACAATGACTAAACTATTTGGTCGCTAAATGTATTATTATTAGCGACTAAAATGTTTTAGCAACTAAATATTTTAGTCGCTGAAAGAGAACTTTATTTTGATTTAATTACTTTCGGCGATTAAATATTTCATTCACCAAAACATTATGTTTGGCGACTAAGTTCGTTTTAGTTGCCGAATATAAGATAATTAGTGATGAATGTCAATTTGGTCGCCATTGACTATTGCTGGCAAGGCTTTGGCAACCAATGAGACGATGAGGTACTTTAGTCGCCATGGTGGAAGGGTGAAGGTGGATGTGGTGGTAGGGTGGTAGCAATGGCGGTGGTGGTATAGGGAGTGACTGTGGTGGTGGTAGAGTAGTGATAGTAGTGGAGTTCAAATGGTGATGGGCATGACAATTGTCGTAACAGTGGTGATGGTGGTGGTGAAATCGACGGTGTTGGTGTAAGAGGCAGGGTACCCTTTATCCAATCCATTTGTTTCATTAAATTTTAAGTTTGTAATATAAAAGTCATTTAAATTATGATGAATTTTTCACATAAAATTACATTATTATTTAATGCTAATTGAATTTATAAATATTCATGCACAAGCATCAACATACACCATTATAACCTCACAATCGCTACAATTATCACCAATATTGTTGATACCGTCATTATCGTCACTGTCGCCACCACCACCATTATCAAGCCACCATTGCTATTACCACCATCTTCATTATTATTGTCAACGTCGCCATAAAACATACCATCATTTCACTACCAGCATCACATTTTCTATTATCATTGTCACCACCTCTCAACCACCACCTCTACTACTACAATCATTCACCTCCATAATCATTACCACCATTACCAATGATTTTTTAATTTTGGACTCTCAAAAATCCAAACTAAAAGTATGTTATTTCATTAGTCGGGCACATGAACATGTAGTATTCCTGATCTATTAGATAATTTATGCAAACAGTAGCAATTTTTAATTAATTTGTTGTCTAATTAATTCTAAAATATTAAATTACCAAAATTTTAATATTTTTTTAATTAAAACTTAATGGTAATAATTATTTCATCGTTTTCAACTATTGAAATTTCATTATCTTCAAATAATGAAATTTAGCCTTAATGTTTGGATGAAATTTAACTATTAGCAAAGTGAAATTTCTAGTAAAAGAGTAAAAATTATAAAATTAAATGCCAAAGATAGACTAATGAGTAAATACTTAGGTGAAATTTAACAATAAACATCATAACCACATCTAATTTGACATTTCACTTTACACATAGTTTATCCATCTGATCTAATTAGATACGTGGCATGATTAACAATTTGAATATTATCAAATTGGCCCTTTCATCTAATGGCGACATAGAGCAACCATTATCAACACCATTATTCTCACAACTTATAGTTTATGTATTAGTATATTTATTGAAGGGTTTAATTGTATCATTTTCGAGATGAGTAAATTGATACTTCATGATAGCTTTAAGGAGGTCAAATAATACAAGGGGGTGTGGTACATTTTCGTATGGCGGAAGAGAGGCTTACAATGACATAAAATTGCGGAAGAATCACGAGTTGAATGAGAGAAAAGTATGTTTTGAACATTTTGACTCTCTACAAATTTTAATTTTTCCATCGATAAAATACAGAGAAAGAGATATAAAGAGAAAGGTAAAAAATAAATAAATAAAGGCTCGTTATGGATCTAGATTAGTGTTAGGATTATACATTCATTTAGCTCTTGCAATTGATTAGGCACACAACTAATATGAAATTTCTTTAATGTTAATATTATCGAGTTTTAATTTTATTTTATAATTATCAAATAAACAAAAAAATTAAGATAAATTACCAAAAGGTCTTACTTTTGAGACTTATTACCCATTAAGTCTTCTTGATAAATTTAGCCTCCGTTTGGGAAAAGGGTTGGCTTTTTGACTTTTTGGCTTTTTTGACTATATGAGCCTGGGCTCAAAAGCTTTAGTTTGGGAAGGGCTTTTGACTTTTTGGCTTTTTTGTGAGAGAAGAGTGTAATGATTATGGGGTTGGATAGGATGTTTTGTCTGTTGTGGCTCATGAGCCTATTCTGTCTTTTATGGCTCATTGAGCCAAAAAAGCCTAATGAGCCCTTGCCAAACGAACCCTTATTAGTCTTGTAGGTAAATAAGTCTAGTTAATAAGACTGTTAGTAAAGTACTAAAAAAATTATTAATTAACTATAACAGTTCAAATAATTATTTGATTAAATTATTAATTTAAAATGATAAATTACTTTAATGTTAATATTAATTAAATTTGTTACTATTTGTAAGAACTATTAATAATTAAATAATAAATTATTAACAACATAATAGTAATTATTTTCAAATATAATTATTATTTATTGATTAAAATCATAAAATTCCCTAAATTTATTTTTACATTTAGAATATTAATTAAACTTTAATAAAGGTAAAATTACTAACATAAATAATAAAACATAAAAAAATATATAAATCAAGACCAATTTTTACTTCAAAAATTTGTCACAAATTCAAATTTCTTCTCAACATTTGAAAGAAACCCTCCAAAAATTTAATTTAATTCCCTCCTACAAAGAGAGATGTGTTCGAGAGAGAGAGAGAGAGCGAAGACGAAGAAGAGAACATGAAGAGAAGACGGAGGGAAGAGTAGTCCTTCGGAGCGACAGCCATTGCTTTGTTTGCGACGGCCATTGCTTTGCTCGAGCAGTCCTTTGCAGCTCCGTTCGTCTTCGCTTCTCCGTCCATTCGATGAAGACCCACGAACGAAGCAAACGGAGCCGTCTCACCGCTCCCTCCGGCCGGAGCTCTCGTATCTCTCCGTCGCACTGCCCAATTTCAGATACATGTTCAGATATTAGGGTTTTGAGTTTTGACTTGAGGCTTTTCAATTTCAAAATTAGGGTTTAGGGTTTTTCACTTTCAAAATTTGGGGCTTTTCAATTGGGAGTTCAGTGTTTAACAGAGGTTATGCTAGCTGATTGTCATATATTTGCTGACTTTTCTTAACTCTTGTTTTGTTTAGACTAGAGGACCTTGTAATAGGTGGCTCATGATCATGTAGCAGCCAGGTTTGCTCAATCTATGAATGTAGTAGTTTCTATGAATGTATCCACATTGATCTTTGGCTGGTTACCTCAATCTAGTTTTTCAATGAAATTGTCTTCAGTAGACCAAGAAAAGGGTGAGATGCTCTAGCATTTTCCTTCCTTTATCGATGTCTATATGTATCTTTGTGTATATTGCTTCATTAATAAAAAAAATTTGTTGATAAAAATGTTAAAAAAAAAAAAGAAGGTAAAATTTGGATAAATTAGTTAAATTACAAAATTGATAAAATTTTGTGAATCTCTCATCATATTGAAGTTTTCACATTGCTTAAACTTCTAGGGTTCAATGATTGGATTGGGTAATTAGTTTAAGATGGGGATAGATTAAGTGTTTGCTACAAACTATGATGGTATATGTATTTGGGTAAAATGTCAATGCCATGATTTTCATTCTATTATTTATTTATTTTTGTTACTCCCAATTTGTTTCTAGTTTGAAACCATATGAAGAATAGTCGTGGAATGTTGGTAACAGAATATAACTGATTATATTTTAGAAAATTGAGTCTCTTCAATCTGTCTTCATTAGTAGCTATTGTTTGTTTAATGAATAATTTGCTCCCTAAGATAATGGATAAAGGAAAATAGTAATTAGATTTTTTCTTTGTTTTAGAACATTGGGAGGCATTATACCATGATTGTTTATAATTTTTATTGAACAATTGACTAGTGTTGGCCAATCCATCCAATGAATTGCACAATTGATTGGTGGTGGACAAACCTTCCAATCGATAGGTGAATGGATTAGTGTTGGCGAAGCCATCCGATCAATTGGACAATTGAATGGAGTGGCTAATTCTTCCAATCAAGTAATTAATCGATGCTTTTGCAAAATTTTAGATGTGCAATTGATTAGTTAATTAATTTTGTTGACTTGTAAAAAAATGATCTTGGGTCTTCACAGTGTCGGTGGCTGCCAATATTATGAGAGGATACATGGCATTAGAACCATCTCCAATTCATGTGATGGTGAGATTGTGATGGTGGTAGTGGAGGTTTTGGCAGGGGCGACGCTGTGTGTGCTTTGATGGGCGCCCATGCCCCATCAAGCTATCAAAAATTCAGTAAAAATAATTATTTATATTATTAATATTTTATTTAATATAATTTGATTATGTTGAAAAATTAAAAGACCCCACCAAACAGAGATCTATATCTATTAGAGGAAAAAATATTCAATGTAATGATGACATCATAAGGCTCTCTCATTTTAAATAAACTTAAATCCCTATAGGCTCTCTCCCGCGCTTTCTCACCGGATCTAGTTTTTTAGATTTGAGTAGGGTGCTGCCGTTTTGATTTTTGGGTTGGTTTATGGGCGGTTGATCTTTTGGTTTGGATGCTCCATGGGTGGTTTCAAATATTCAGCGGTTTTGGTGTTTGATGGGTGTTCAATTGCAAGCTTTTTTCGGGGTCACTACTTTCGGTGGTGTGGATGCTCATTTATGGACGTTTTTTCAATGGGTTAGAGTTATGGGTGCCAGTTTTTGGGTGTTGTATGGGTGTTCAGCGACTTTGGGGTGGTATAGGGGAGGAGTTGGAGTCACTTCAACGCGGCAAAGTAGAGTTTTCATTGGGGGGTGTTCCATTGGCGGAGTTGCGAGGGGTTGCGTGCTCGCGGTATTGGAGGAGGTGTTTGTTATAGTGGGTGTTTGCAGTGACGTTGGCAGTTAGGTGCACTGACGGTGATATGGAGGTGGAGCAACTGGTTTGGGAGGCAATGGCAGTGGTTCGGCAACGGATGGTGACTGTTATATTTTCCAACAAGCAATGGATGGTGGTCGGGCGTGTTATTTTCCAACAAGCAATGGATGGTGGCTGGGCGTGTTATTTTCCGACAAGCAATGGATGGTGGTCAGGCGTGATTTTTTCAGCCAATGTATGCATGACAGTTAGGCGTGGTGACAGAGTAGTGTTTTGGGATGTGCGTTTGCGAAATCAGAAATGCTAAGGGCACGGGGTTTGATGCAAAATGCACAACCCTCTCACATAAGGGTATGTCCCATATGGATCTCACGTGTGGGCTCTATCCTCATGTGAGATGATTGTGCATTCTCCACCAAACCCTTTGTGCACCTAACATTGTTCTCGGAGAAATGGGTTTGGAGTGGGAGACAGTTTGGTGTGGGTGTTAGAATTTTCTGGGGATTCAAGCTTTTTAGTGTTGTGTAGTTAAAATCTATTTAGCTATTGTGTTTATTTTGTTTGCTGTTATATTCTTTTTAATTTAAAAAAATTTGTGAGGCCGAGGGGTTAGTTGTGTAGATGCGAATAACACCAGTAATGGAGCTTGTACTCTCTCAATCTCTTTTTGTACATTTCATTTTCTTGTATCTTTTATTTCATGTTTAAAAAAAAATAAGCCAATAAAAAATTGCTAATGAGATTAAATGGATAACCTTCGTCTCCTATTGACCCAATAATATTGTGATCCCTACTGCAAATCAAGATTGCTCATTAAACAATGATACCATCACTTGATATCACTGTTACATTCAATACTTAATAGTTACCAATGATGACTAGAAATTTTTATCGACGGGATCACTCTAGAAGCTTTAGCACCATAAATTCTATTAAGGAAAAAAAAAACTTTCAAATCAAGTAATATTCATTCTGTTTGGTTTTGAAATTTCAAAAGTTGTTTAAGTTTTTATTTTTTATGTTTTTTTGTCTTTAATTTTTTTTCTTCATATTTTAGTAATTTATTTTTATTTTTGTATATATGCACCTAACTTAAATGTATTTAAAAAGTAAAATATTTGTGATTTTTTAAAATTCAATAAACACAAAAAAGAAGAAGAAAATATACTGAATTTTTATAATTTTTTTTTGTTTAATGAATTTTTAAATATGTTTTCACAAATATTTTAATTTTTAAATATATTCATTACCTAGATCTGAAAGGTAAAAAAAAGTGTATAAAATTAATAAAAAAATACAAAAAACAAAATACTCAAAAACTATTTTTAAAAATAATTAATCAAACAAAGTGTTTTAAACTTCTCAAACTATAGGTCTCTAATGAGTATTTATCATTATTTGATGGGTTCTTTAATTTTTAGTAAGATATTAAACAAAATATTGATAATATATATAAATTTATCTTTAAGAATTTTTATCACCTAACCAGGTGGAGTTGCCCCTGCTAGTTAGGATAAGAAATATATCGTAAATATCTATAAATAATTTTCTATTTTTTATTTCTCTTGCCGTTAGAGAGTCAATGTTTGAAAATTTTAAATCACTCTTTTGTTAACATTTTTTAAATATAGTTGTTGTATTTTTGTTTTTTATGTTTAGTGAATTTTTTAATTTTTAGATTCACTTAATTTAAATACATTTTTAAATTTAAAAAAAATCTGAAATTATTGGTAAAAAATCTACTAAATAAAAAATATATATGTATACAAAAGTAATTTTTTTGAAAAAGAACTTATGAAACATAAACTTGTGGTGACCATGTCTATAAAAGTTAATGGAACCCCAATGGTAATTGTTATGGAAGTAAAGGGATTGTGATTGTAGATGGTGGAGCTGTAATATTGTAAAGGTAAAAGTGGGGTGGCACGGTGGTATAATGTTATTGGTGATTGTGATGGTGCAATGATAGTAGTGGCAGTGGTGGTAGTGATAGTAGTGAGGTTGTAAGAGTGTATATCGATACTTATGCATAAGTATTTATAAATTTAGTCAGTATTAAATAAATTTTCTATCACTTAAAAATTTATTAACTTTATCAAATTAGTTTAATGAATTTTTACTTAAAACAATGGGTAAATTACAGTCAGTACCCTTTGAGGTTTCTGAAAATTACATTGGCCTTCTCTTCTTTTTTTGAAATTGCACTGACCTTTCGATGACTAACGGCATTAATGGGAGCACTACTAGAAAAGTAATTTTTTGCAACTAATTTTTTTACGACCAACTGTTTGACTGTCGCAAAAAATAATATTTGCAAGAGAGACTAATCTTTTCTTTTATTTACTTTTCCCTCTTCTTATACCTATGCCCTAATTCCTTTCACAACTATTTACAAACAGAGGTGTCACCGTCTCTCTTGCTCTCCCTAACCTTGTTCAATCGCCCTTGATCATAGGAGCGATTTTGACCATAGATCTCTGACTACATATCACCATTTCCCTAAATTTTCTGTAACGCCCTTAAAATAACAACAATAAACCCATCAATATAGACAAACATTGACATATGAAATATCCACAATCTTCTATTCATCAGAGTTTCATTACAAAAGTATTACATGTTAACAACAAAAGCAAAATGCCCTACGGGCTTACAGCTTTCCAAGTTAACACTTGGTTACAACAAAAGAGTACTAACTCATTTACACATTAAGCCCTTGGCTTGAATTTACATGTAATACATCAAAAAATCTTTCATACCACTCACTGTAATACTGGTTTAACTATTTCTCTTGGTGTGCTCTTAATTATTTTGGCACTTAATTGAGTCCAACAAGCACTATACAAGCCATACTTACTATGCCCCATATTCCTTTTTCCTCTCATGCTCTGCTCATACAGTTTAATTTCTCTCTTCCCATGTCAATCTTGGTTTTTAATTTTGTTGTTTTTCCTTTGTGATGGTAGTTTTAAATTCTTAATTGGCAGGACTTTTGTTTTGTTTTTTGTTTTTTTTTTTTTAATTTAATTTTTAATAGTAAATTTATCTTATGTTTTTTGTTTGCAATAGTTTGATTTTGTGTCACCTATATGTTTACTTTTTAGTCGAGGTTTTGGGACCATTTCAGTTTTTATGGGCTACATGTTTGCTATAATTTATCTTTTGTGTTGAGTCCTAGAGGGTTATCTCTTATGCATTGAAGTAATAGAAAGAAAAAGCAACAACTAATACTGCTATAGTATCTCAATTTTCCCTCCAAATTTTTTTGCAGGTCATTTAACTTGGAAAATGCTTTGGGATCTCACACAAAGGCCAAGCACAAGCACAGTGCTGGACAATACATGGATTTGAAGAGAGAGCTTCTGAGTTCTGATTGGAAACTCTATGCTCAGTCTATTAGGTAGTTTTTATAATACTAAACTTTACTGACTAGTAACTTTTTATATTCTGAGTGTTAATGTCAATTTGGTATGAATATAAAATTGTGGAAAGGTTCTTTCTTCACAGAATGGTTAATTTTTTGATAAAGATTTCATGGATTCACTTCATAGATTGCATGATGGAATCTCAAGTGCCCAATTATAGCTTATTAATCAGGATTAGTTTTCTTGCTTGAAGTCTATTTTACTTTGAGTGTTGCTCAGGGTGCTACTCGTGCTCTGTCGCAGTTGTATACAAATGATGAATTTTCAGAATTCTATCAAAACCTAAACTAATTTTAAAGCATTTTTCCAGTTCTGTAAGGAAAAAAAAAAGTTTGGCCCTTGTTTTTGTATGAAATTAAACACAGTTGATGGAGTAATTTTGAGAGAAATGAGAACCACTGAACGGAGCATTATAGCATTAAATGTCATCTCCTCATTTCAGTTTGTTTGAGAACCATGAATTGTGTAATGAAGAACAAACATTAAGATAAATTCATTGTGCCTTCCTATATTTTTATGTCTTTAGCTTCATACATTCACTGCTACCTCATGGAGATTTTTTTTTATTATTTATCCTGTAATGGTGATTATATTGAAGGCATTTCTAAGGCTGTTTTGGTTCCTTCCGTGTCTTTTGATCAACTCCTGGGGCGTTATCACTCAAAAAACAACCAAATAGGCTTGAATAGTTAATGCCTTAACTTTTATCAGCAAGGTAAGCTTTACTTAGCAAGTTAATGTAGCATTTCTAATATATGATTGAATAGTTACTTATGCTTTTGAGTTTTGACTTTGAGAATTTTAAAATTGTTATGCTTATGCTTTTGGGTTTTTGGAGCAAGACAGGTAACCACTGATCAACATAATAAATAAGTCTATTGTGGTACCCTCCTAACCAAATACTCTCATGCATTGTGAGTAATTTTTTCTTATTTTGCATAATTGTTGTGGCCTGTGCAATATTCATGTAATAGATTTCTTGTTATCTTAGTTCTTATTTTTATATTTGGGGACTCTCTTGATCCAAAAGGAGGTGAGTTTGCTTTAGGGTGTTGACAAGGACATGAAAAAGCTTTCAATCCCTCTTTCTACAAGTGATGAGACTGATAATTGCACCATCATCTGGTATGATGTTCTTACACAATATCAAGTCAATATTCACAAGGACCCATAATTAAAAATATATATATACATGAATAAAAAAAGAAAGAGTGGCACAATTTCTCTCTCTCTCTCTCTCTCTCTCCCTGTCATTTTGCATGCACAGATGGTGTGGCTGGTAATCACATGATAATACCTGCTTCTTGTGATCTTGTAGATTGATGGTGTGGCATTGTTTCGAATGTTGTATATTATTATGAAATTTTCAACTAGTTTGTTAGTAATAGTATTAGGAACTTTTGGTGGTTTGGTCCTGTGCTTTTGTGGACTCAAGTTGACATCAAACTTTTTTGAGATGTGATTGAGACCCCCTCAATCACCAACCCCCACCACCCCCCACACACGTGGGGGTTGGTGATTGGAGGAGAAAAAAAAAAAAAAAAATCTGGCCAATCAATCCAAGAGGGGGTTGTGGGGGTGGGGGGGAAAAGGGAGTCCAGATCATTTTTGAACTTTTTTTAGCTGGAAATGTTATGAAAAGGATTTCTATGCACAAAGCCATTCTTGTGGACTATTTGATGAATGATCATTTTATCAAGTATTATCAATTTTTTTATTTCCATGCTTGAATTGACTTTAAACACATACTATTTACTAATCATTAGTTGTCTGTTTTATATTTGATGAATCTCTTAGTGCTGACTTGTGCTTGAGAGCCAATGGACCTCTACTGATCACCCACACTCAGTGAACCTGTCAAGTTATTTTCAATGTGCCATTTATATTGGCTGTACAGTGCTAGCTGAGAAAGTTTGATATTGTGTTGGTTTTTGTCTTACTAGTGTTCAATAATCAAATTCATGCCTCTTTTTGCTCGAACTTGTAGTTTCAATATTAGAGGTTGATGATTTGTTTCCGATGTTCTCTTGACAGAGGGAGCAATGGTGGCAACAAGACTGACAGGAATTCTTTTAGGACAACCTATATTGTTCAAGACTCTGTAACAAGACTGTACAGAAGTGGCCTTTTTCTTGTTTCCATATACTAGTTTTTAATGTGAATTTGGGTGGTAATTGCAAGGATTCTTGGAATCAAAACTACTGTAACCTCAAATGTTTTTTTTGTAATTGCAATAGGTGGAAAATCTTTGCAAGATTCTTTTAGGAACTCTTTGTTATTGTAACGGGAATTTTATTAAAGGAAGAGATGGAAAATAATGCATGAATGTAAAAATTTTTGTAAATATCTCTTTACATTTATTGTATATAATATTTGAATATATATATGAGAATATAAGCTGTTAAAACATTGTAGGCATTTTTTATTTTTTTGGCGATGGTAACGAAGGTCGCTAATACATTGTAGGTGTGTTTTTTTTTTTTTTTTTACTTTGCGACGGCACTTTGCGACGGCAAAACATCAGTTGCTATAAGTAGATTAGGCGGTTACAAATAGTTTGTAACTGTTGTTTTGCGGTTGCAAAAAGTGTTTGCCACTCCAACATTTGCGACTCCCATTTGTTGTTGCATGAGCTGTTGCAAAAAGTTTTTTGCAATTGTATTTCTATTATTTGCGATGGCTTAGAGCGGTTGCAAAACATGCTTTTTTTAGTAGTGGAGGATTAGTTTAGTAATTTTAATATTAGATATACTTTTATTGATAATTATTAAATGTGCAATTCTTATTTTGTTTATACCTTAGATGGTGTTTGGTTATGTCCAATTTTTTTTTTAGTTATGACTGATAGCAAATTTAGTTATGATATTTGTGGTAACACAACTTGTATATAATACATGTGTATTCTAAAATAATTTATTATTATGACAAAAGTGATAATGAAACAAATTGAAAAATTAAGAGTAAATTACAAAAAAAAAAAAAAAAAGCCCCAAGATTTAACAATTATGACAAAATAAACTATGAATTTTTAATTTTATCAATTTAAATTTTTTTTAATGTTTATTTTCAATTTAAACCATTGGTCTATTTTTGTTAATAAAATTGTCAGAAAATAGATATTTTAGTCATTAAACTTAATGAAAATGAGTATTTTAGACATGTTATGTATATTTACATTAGGTTTAATTATTAAAATATTATTTTTTCGTCGATTTTAGTTAACGAAAATAGGCAAATAATTTAGATTAAAAACAAATCAAAAGATTAGAGTTGAAATTGATAAAATTAAAAACTTAGGATTTATTCTGTTATAATAGTCAAACTTTGAATTTTTTTTTTTTTTATAATTTTCCCAAAAATTAATTACATAAATACAAGAGAAGTTCTTTTATAGTTTTTAATCAACACTATTATATAATTCAGTTTTCTTCAAAAAAATGAGATAAAATTTATAAGCCTCACTATCTAAATCCTTTAATTTTTCAATTTTCTATTTTTAATTTTATGAAACACCACTTAACATGGCCTGACAATTTCACCTTTAATTTTAAACCAAATTGCCATCAATGACAGACAGAGTCCACTCAAGCCTATTTAAAACCCAAGATGAAAGGTCTAATTGGGGCATTCATAATAAGCTATCTAATTTTCACAATCAAAATAATTTTGATAATTTTTTTTTTCTTCTTCTTTTCTTAACTAAGAGAATGAAATATGTGTAATATAAATGTCACGATGAGATCTCTTTTGTATCTAATGAGAGAAGTTGTTTTACTGTCTTTATGATTTGACGGAGAGCTTAAGGTAACTAATGAAGTGAAATTCTTTTTGATAATCCCTGATTTATTCATTTTTTGTTAAGTTATTGGGAGATTTTTAACTACTATTTTAATTTTTGACAATTATTTGGACAATAAAATAGGTTAGTTACACCAATACCTCTTCAACTCTATTACAAGTATCACTTTACCCTCATCAACTATAAAAAGTTGTAGAAATACACTCTTTTGTAAAGTGGTCTAGAGGAAGTAAAACTGATATATTTTTATAGTTGAGGGGGTCAATTTATACAAATTCATAAATGAGGAGATTAAGTGATGTTCAATAATAGTTAAGGGGGTTTTGGTGTAATTAATGCTAACTTTTATTATGTAAAATTGTTTTGATAATAACTTCTATTATTTATATATATAATAAAGATCTTGTTAATATGTATTTTTAAGGCGCACGTTAAAAAAGTTTTAAAATATTATATATTTTTTATTATACCCACTTTTATAGCGATGTACAACCCTTTAATCATCTTACCATGTGCAATAAGTACATAAATTAATAAAATTCACATAATATAATCCATGTGGTCCTCTTTTACTCAAGAGTTTAGTCTAAACCAGCATTTAAGTTGTCTACTCTTAAACCACCGACGAGTTGTGGTTCACATCAGCTGTAACCAACTTGGAATATCAATGAGAAATTATAAAGAGGGACCTTAATCATTCAATTGTTGTAAAAAAGTCATATGTGGTGTGCATGACTAAGAAGAACATTGTTATCAAAACCTCATGTCTTATATATGTAGACTAGACTTGAGTTTGGGGCTTCTTTCTATTAAAGATATAAAGTCGAATTGAGTGTTGCAGATAATGTGTATTTACTGAGCAGTAGTGTTTGTTATACATAATACCTTTCGTTAGGGTTCAGTGTCAGAATTTAAATGGAATCAAGTCATATATAAAGCAAATGATATATTTATTGATTTTTTTAGGACAATAATATTTTATCTATGTTAGGTTTTATTCTTGGCAATCCCGTTTGACAAAACTCCTTTGTGTTGTAATTTTATTCGCATTTTTATTTCAGTGAGAATATGAGTTGTTAGATGCGAGTCCAACCCGAATCGTGCTTTGTAGAGCAGTTTTGTGATGTTAATTATTTCAAGATTACTATTTTGCTGATTATGACAGGGTTCGAGCTGCCCGGTCAGCTCGCGGGGGTCGAGGGGGCAGCGCCCCTTGGCGGGTCCGGGGCAGTGCCACGACGGGGTCGAGGGGCAGCGCCCCCGAAGCAAAATACAAAAATGCATTCAAAGTTGCCTCCCCGCTCGAGCGTCCATTCCCCCGCTCGAGCGGAGAATGGTGATTTCTATAAGTTTATTCGCCTGCAAAAATACTGGATGTTGTTTTTTCCCGCTCGAGCGGAACTTTCCGCGCTCGAGCGTAGGCCAATCTGACGCTCGAGCGAAGATCGCGGGACAGTTTTTTATAAATACGTGTTTCAATCCAAATCTAGGATAACTTCTCCAGATCTTCTTCTTGGGTTCTAGGATAAATATCTAGGGATGTTTTGCTAGTTTTCTTTGATGTTTTTTTGATTGAGTATTCAACTCATGGTTTAAAGAGTATACATCAAAGGATTATTTGTTTGTTCTACACAAAAGAGAGAGTTGTTCTTCGGTGGATTCTGAAGAATTCGAGCCTGAAGCTTTGGTGGATTCCTGAGTGGCTCATCGTCAAGACAATTCCGAGGTGAAAACGGGGTTGGAAGAGACACATAGAGGTTGGTTCAATTCGGGCGTGGATTCGCTAGGTAATTGAGAGTATACCTGTGTAATTCCTTTATATCTTCTTAGTGGATTGTTTTGTGGCTGTTGCCTGTGGTTTTTTTTTATCACAATTGGAGGTGTCCAATTGTGATTTTTCCACGTAAAATCGTTGTGTCGATTTGTCTTGATTGTTTGATTGGGATTGTTGTTTACTGCTTAAAATTGTTACATAATCACAAATTAACATCTAGGGGATTTCTAGATTTTTCAATTGGTATCAGAGCAGGCCGTTTTATTTTTTAAAAAAAATATATCTTTTAGAACGAGATCTTGTTTGATTTGTGATAATGGATTCAATACGTGAAGGAAATTCTATGGTTCGACCACCCCTACTTGACGGATCCAATTATTCTTTTTGGAAAGCTCGGATGAGATTGTTTTTGAAATCAATAGATGAAAAAGTTTGACAATCTGTCATGAATGGGTGGACTGAACCAACAATTATCGTTGATGGAATAACTTTCCCCAAACCAATTGATAAGTGGGACACAATTGATTACCAAAATAGTAGCTGGAATAGTAAAGCTATCAATTCTCTCTTTTGCGCTGTCACACCTGAAGAGTTTAGTCATATTTGCAATTGTGAAGTCGCAAAAGAGGCTTGGGATATCTTATAAACTATTCACAAGGGCACTCCTTCTGTTAAACGCTCAAAACTTCAAAGGCTCACGTCTAGTTTCGAAAACCTTTCAATGAAAGATAGTGAGACCTTTGATGAATTTTATGCGAAATTGAGTAACATTGTAAATTTCAGCTTCAATTTAGGTGAAAAAATACCAGAATCCAAAGTTGTGGGAAAATTTTGAGATCCTTGCCCGATCGATTCCAACCAAAAGTTACGGCTATTAAGGAGTCTCAAGATGTTGACAACCTCAAGCTGGATCACTTAGTTGGAAATCTCCAAACTTATGAGGCACATAGGAATTTCAAAAAGAAACAAAAAGATACTATTGCTTATAGTAGTGCTCATAGAGTTGAACAGAATTCTGATGAGGATTGTGAGATAGATTCCAAGATTACGGCTGCTTTTGTTAAACAATTTAAAAAATATTTTTTGAAAAAGAATCCTAATCTTTTGGAATCTACTCATACTCATAAATCTAAAGGCAAAGAGAAACTCAAAATTAATTCTATAGCCAAGAAGGAGAAAGGAAAGATACAAGGGAACTCTAAAAGACTCCGATGCTATGAATGCCAAGGATTTGGCCACTTTGCTTCAGAATGCCCCACTTGTTTGAAGAAGAGGAAAGCCCTCACCATCACTCAGGATGATGAATCAAAATCTGATGAAGATAAAAGTGACAACGAAGATCAATGCGAAGAGGGACATAAACAATTCCTTGCTTTCATGGCGGCTTCCGAAACTGAAGGACGAACAGAGTATCCGAAGAGATCGGTTGAGAATGCCACTGATGATGAATTCTCGAAGAGTGATGATGAAGAGCTTGAGCAAGCTTATGAAAAGTTGTATAAGGAGTCTCTTAACTTATCCAAATTGAATTACAAACACTACGAAACTCAAAGCATGTGAAAGTGAGAATGTCAAATTAAAGAAAGATATTTCCGAGGCTAGGAATGATGCCCTTAAGATTTCTAATGATCGACAAGCTCTTTGTGCAAAACTCTTAACTTGTGAGACAGAGAGGAATGAGCTACAACAAATCTATGCAACATATGAAGAAAAAATTGAAACTCTCGAGATGTCTCAAGTTGCTTTGGAAGAACTA